ACGCCAAACGATGGCGCTGCGTTCGGTAATTACCAGTATTTCCTGTTGGCCAGGTGATGCATGACAAGGATGCCTAGATTGATGATAATCGTGCGTCGTTTCACGTTCCTCGTTCGTCTTCCATCGTTCATCGTGTGTGTCAAGCCCAAGCCAAGTATTTGACTGAATGACTGAGTGAGTGACTTGACTTTGTCTTAAATTTCTTGTTGTTAATAATATTCTTGTTTTTGTTGGCAATTTGTTGCAAAATCGTTTTTGTTATCGCTGCATTTGAAATTTGATTGGCGGAGAATTTGTTTGTTGGAAATCGGTTAGTTAATTTATGAGAAGCAGGCGGACAAATCGCTTTGACTGCTCAATTTGAAAATGCGCGAAAATGGGTTTTTGGTAATTCCCATAAATATGCATACCGTTGGCATTGCGGGGTGGGGAGAAATATTGCATGAGCATGCAAGCACATTCAATTTAATATTGCCTCGAGCCATAACACTTTGGCCAAAACCAAATATTATTAGCGCAGTGGCAGGCAGCAAGCAATGAACGTGACTGCAGTCCCACACAGGCAGCGGACAGAGCAACAAGATGATGGGGGCTGATGGGGGCATGTACGAGTATTGTAGTCAGTAGTGAGTCAGACAATTGCATAATCTAAACCGCAATTGCACTTGCAAGCAGACGCCAACGACATATTCGCAAGGCAGGCAGCCAGGCAGTCAGGCAGTCAGGCGGGCAGGGAGCCACACAGAGTGCTGGCAATGGAAGCCCGCCTGAAACCCTGGCATTGAAACCATTCGCCAAATTGTCGAAGAAGCCAACAGTTGGCCTCTAGGTGGGAGATGTCTTTCCCACCTTTCACGACTACCCGAATGCCAAGTGCTTGGAGAGAGACGATGGCGTTGACTGGAAAACGATGCGATTTGCATGGCAATGATTGCGACGAGCCTGGCGTGGCTTGTAAAGTTTTTGCACGTTGTTGTTTTTGTCGCTATGTTGTTGTTTTATTGATTTGTGCATTCATTTGATTGTAAGAGCGCAAGCGCGCCTGCGCAGGCGCATTTGTTGCCAAATTGTAGAAAATCTGCAGCAAAAACTGTTCAAAAATGCTTTCATCGTCGCTGTCATCGTCGTTGTCCTCGTCGTGCCCACTGATGTTGATATGGCATCCCCACCTTTCGCCCCTCAACCACCACTCGATTGACGATGGTGCTGGCGATGCTGTTCTGCATGTTTGCTGTTCCTTTGTAATATCTTTCTCTCTTTCTCCAGCGCTGCCTGCCTCTTGTTTTTTTTTTTCCTAAGAATTTCGCCCCGGGTCATTTTCATTTTAATGTAATTTCTTTTAAATTTATTGTTAATGGAAATTTATGCTTTACTGTACTTTTTGCTGTACACACCACATCCACAGTGAGAATTTCATGCAACATCAGCAGCACACACATACAACTGCCTGAGATTGCTGTTGTGGCAGCAATTGTGGTTACGGTTGCGGTTGCGGTTGGGCAGTTCGTTGGATGTTTCATATGCGCGCACCGATTTGCTGCACGTTTTCTTGATTTGTCATGTTGGAGGTTAAATGCTAATGCTAATGCACCTTTGATTCTAAGAAGCATTTCTGCTTATTTCACTCCATGTCCATTTTGTCAGTCTGTCTGTCCGTCTGTCTATCTGTATTATAGCTTGTTCTTTTCATTCAGTTGCTCACATTTTTTTTTGGGCATGTGTTTGATGATCTTACGTTATGTGTTGCACAAATTACGCTCATTGTATAACATGCAACGAATTCTTTCTTGGGTTAAGCCGTGTTAAGTAGCTTACGAAAGCGTGTGGGTTCAACTTTGTATGATTTGATATGTTTTTGCGGCAATGACCTCACTTCTCTACAGAGTGTAGAAAAAACTTTGTTAATCTATTGCAAATCGTATTCCCACGAGCGCAATATTATGGCATCTGCGGACCAAGTAGATGTTGCCCACAGGTTCGTAATACATAAAAGCTCAAACGACTCATAAAAAGTGTGTCAAATAAATTCTAATCAACTGTGCACACACACACACAGATACTCGTACATACATAGGTTAACCTCTGCACACTTGCACAGCATAGAGTTGTAAAATCCCAATAAAAATGTTTCGGCTGCAATTAAAGGCCGCCTTTGCCGTCGTATATACTCGTATACGTATGTATGTGTGTGCGTGTGTATAACGAAACAATGCGAGTAATTGAAAAGCGCCTGGTATGGCAAAATCAAAAGACGTAAGCGACAAACTTGCGTGCTGGCCACTCATTGGCAATGGGCCTGTGTCTGTGGCTTTGCAATTGCAACCAAAACTGGAAGTGGCCACGTGAGAGCGAACGACCGACCAATCGACTAAACGACCAAAAGGGCTGGATGTTTAAAATTCAATTATTGTTATTTGCCCGAACGCTGGGCCCCCGGTATGTTGTGTAATGACAGCGACAACAACAACAACAACGACCCAACAGGGTGCGGTGTTATCGTTCCCGCTCATGTGGCACAGTGGTTCTATTTATTCTACTTTCAAGATCATAAATTGATATTTTCGCATTGAAACCACAATTGGAACGGCAGTTTCAGCATCTAAATATTAAAGTATCTTGGAATGTAACAAATTCCATATTTTGACGTAAAATTATTCAAGTTATATTAAAAATAGATTATTTCTGATTTACTATATTAATTTATTCTGTTTTAAGAAAAACTATTTTGGTGTTTGTGGCGTCAAGAAACAAGTGTCCTTGAATTCATATTTATCTTTGAGCACGCCTTTAATGAGTTTCCTAAATATTCAACTTTGTTACCAAATTATGTTGAAATATGAATCAGTGTGCGGCATCTTTATCGTAGTTGTTGTTGTTGCTGCACTGCCTGCTGCAACTTTATTAAAGCCAAGAGCAAGACTCTAAATGCCAAGTGTGGTCTCCAGCTATAAATAGATGCGGCAATGGACGACTGTTAGCGCCCACAGATGGCGATGCGGGCGGCGATGCGAGACGAAGGTTTTGTGTTTTTTTTTTTACGATCATGGCTCAATTGAAAGCGCGTTCTCCTTTTTTCATTTATTTTTTGTTCGGCGCAGATGTTTTGTAATGTTGTGGGCGTTCTGGGTTTTTGGCACATTACCATGACGATGTTGTATTTAAATCAAGCGCTTTGCACTCAATTAATGCTTTGGCTTTGCATGTCTGTCGACATGTCCGTCTTTACTTTGCTCTGCACTTGAGAAGGTGCACGGCCCCGATATACATATGGATGTATGTGTGTGTGTAGTATATATCCGCTATCGCTGAATGACCAGCTACCGTGTCTTGTTGCAATTTACGAACAGCTGGCCATGATCCTCAACAAGCTGCGGTTGTATTTAAAGACATCCTTAGTGCGCTGTCAATTGCTGCGGAAGTGGAACGTTCGTGGTCTGGCGTGCGTGTCACGCTAAGAGGTTCTTAATTTCTTTGGGCGCCGCACTCCAAACGCCCACCATATCTTTCGTTCGCTTGCTCGTTTGCTCATTTAGCAATGGCATTGGTTCTTGGGTTACATGGAGAAGCTTGAATGCTAGAAAACATTAATTGCCGCCTTCGTGCAAATTTGCCTTCCGTATTTATTTGTTGTTTGTTCACTCTCTCTGTCGGCATCTTTCACTGTCTTTGTCTAGCTAACGCCGTCTAGCTAATTAATTCTAAATTTAAGTGCCTTTTTTCATTATCGCATGCTTCGTTGCCCGCCGAGATAAAATTACCTATACAATGCATCTGCTTTTGTCTTTTAATGTCGAATTACAATGAATTTCGTGGCATTTTATGTGCGCGGAGACCGCACAGTTCCAACTTGTTTGCCTTTATGTGCGGGTTCTTTTTGTTTTGATTTCCTTTTTCATTTTTTCTCTTCTGCGAGTCGCTGCTTACATTTAATTGACGGCTATTCTCGCGAAGAGCGCGCCATATAAATTAAATATATATTTCTATGAAGCCGACACAGAGGCACCACAACAAAAATACTTTTTAAGATTTTTGCACGGCACAAAGCTGTGGATTAAGCTGTGGCTATAGCTTTGTTATTAGGCCTAGATTAAGCACTTATTTAAATTACTCGTACTTGGAAACTCAATGGTGTCCAGCCACTACTGCCGTTCTGCCTAATAGCTGCAACATTTAAGCCGATAATTTTGCACACATCAGGCTACCTACACATGGCTGGCCATAATAAGATTTTGATTGCTATGTAGGCATGCCCGGCCCGCTAACGTATATTTATACATATGACCATCCATGTCCAAGTTCATTGCAGTCAATCGCTGCGCTCAGCGCAGAGCTGAAAAATTATGCCAAACGAATGTTTAACGCCCGAGTTTTGAGCGCAAGGAATTGTGGTACGTAGCCAGCCGACTTGGCCAGCAAACTAAACCAAAGCAGTGTGTCGACTAATACCAGGTTTTTCCTTTTATTTTTTACGACTATACATACATATATGTACATATAGATATATTGAAAAAAGCAGCCCTGCAGCTTTATTAAGCGTTGCCGCGCAGCTGCAATAAAAACGAAAGACTTAGGCAACGAACGCGTTCTACTTCCATAGTAATTATGCGGCAATTGTTTAGTGCTTAGTTGTTCACTCGGTGGGTTGGTTGATCAGTCGTCTGCTTGCCCACCCTTCCCACCTCCCTTCTCGCGTTATACCATGATTGGCATCTGCAAGCAGACCGTCAACGTCCAGGCAGCCAGCCAGGCGGGCAAGCAGGCAGGCAGGCAGGCAGGCAGGCGCGCATGTCTGCGCATTTGTAGGCGTGGTTCGCTGCGCATTTGGCAGCTTGTTTGGCTGACCAACGACGTGGACACGACGACGACGACATGCTAGCCCACTTTTAACATTGTTAAAATATTCCAATACATTGCTGGACAAGAAAAAATAAAATAAAAAGCAACCGAAAAACGTTTTAGAATTAAATTTCCATTTTCTTGCCTCTTTCCACTCATTGCAGGCACACACAAGGTGCATTGCTCGGAGGACCAGATGCGTGTCGAGATCGGCATACCCACGGATAGTAAGCAGGAGCAGCAACAGATCTACTTGGAGGGTCTCAAGGGCTATCCGGATGTACGTTGTCAGCCTGAAATAAATGGTGCATTGGCCATTTTTCGTCTCTCCCTCAGCGATTTCTACGAGTGCGGCGTGACGCGTATGGTCAACCAACTAACGGTAATTTAATTTGATAATTGACTCTAAGCTGACATTGACTTTGGCTCTCTGTTGTCGCTGTAGGGCAAAAAAGTCTATTACCATAAAATCATCATTGAATCCGTCAGCAGCAAAGAGTTCGTCAGTGTCAAATGCATAACGACCAGTGGCCCGGTTTATAATGTCATGATGAATGAGACTAGCCGCGAGCAGCCACGCGTCGTACTCCAAGAGCAGCAACAGCATCATGGGCTCGTTCGCCGCGACGTTCTACCAGCGGGTTTTCAAGAACCAGAGTAAGTTTTCTATCGACGCTTTCTACTTAAGACGGGGAATAAGAGGTAGCTTCGACTGAGAAGCACATTGTCCCCGAGAAATTTCACAATTTTAATTGCAAGCCAATTTTCTGCCAGACCGTAAAAATGTATTGGCAATGGATGGCATGTCAGCTGCAAAATGCAAACGGCCCAGCCAGTGCCGACCAGGCGTCAAAATGTAAACTTTTTTCAACATCATTGCCATGCCTGGTTGTGTCCAGTATGTAGTTAAGGTTTATGGCATATTAAATACCCTACAAAACGATGCTTAAAATGCACATGCATATGCAAGGCATAGACTTGGGCATGGGCAAGGCGGTGGCCGTAAATCAAGCTGTCCGGCTGCGATTACCGGGTAATTAACTGCAAAATCGAATATGTTGATACCTAAGACTGTCAGGGATCGCGAACGCATGCACTAAGGCCCCACATTCGATTTAATTATAGGGCGTGTTACAACACTCATACAATGTTTGTTTTTGGTTGCCTTCGGGCTGGTACATAAGTACTATACATCGAGTTTTGTATCCGACAACCAGGCGGTGAGGCAATTTATAACAAGTTCTCGAAGTATATTTAATAACGTAATTTCGTTTACTTCCGTATTTCATCGGCGGTATCATAAATATCCTGCTGCTAATGACACATTCGTGCATTTCTGACTTTCCAGGGACTTGGAGATTACCACTTCATTAACGAAACGCGCACCGGAGCCTCGTCTATCCATTGGCGTGAGTCAGGATGGGAAAAAGTTCACCAGCGATTTGACTGTAAAGAGTGGCACACCTTTGACCATGGAAATCAATTTGGATGCGGACTCAGCACCTGTCTATGGACTGGGTGTTAATTACTTAGATGTTACCGACACACACACCTCCTCAGAGACGCTCATCTTCAAAGGGTATGTGGGTACAATGAACTCATGATTTGATGTACTGATATTATTAACTTTATTATTATTTCTGTTTATTACTTTATATTGCACTTTTTTTGTTAAAGTTAACGCTGTGAAATAACAAAGCATAGTCGTTGACCCAAAAATAGCAACTAGCCAAATCGTTGTTATTTACTATTTATACTATATTACTATATAAATTTAATATTGTCAACACAACGAAATACTAATGCCTGATCTGCTCCATTTTTAGATGCACTGTGGATCCGTATCTGTTTGAGAACTTTAACACTATTGATGGTGACATATTGAGTGCCAAGTTCAAGGCCTTTAAGTTTCCCGACTCCTCATATGTACAGTTCCGTGCCACAGTTAATGTGTGTCTGGACAAGTGCCTTGGTACGCAGTGTTCCAACAATCAGGTGGGCTATGGACGGCGCAAGCGTGAAATAAGCTCGGCGCTTATGGATACCAATAAGGTCTATGAAATTTCACTGGCTATGTTCATAAAAGTCAATGACATCGAGGGCGTTAATAAGAGTGAGTAGTATGGCTAAAACTATTTCGGAACGACTATTTAAATATTATTACATTATCATTGCCAGATGAGGTTCTGCAATTGGAGGAGAAACTGCGGGAGCTAAAACTGGCCAATCAGCGTCTGGCACGCAACAGTCGCGGAAACTTTGCCGAAGTGCACAGAAGTGGCGAACAGGCGCCCACGCCCAGCAGTGCGGAGCCTGCATTTGTGGTCGATGAGCGGGAGCTCGGACAGCTGTCCTCGGGCGGGGGCAGTGCTTCCAGATACGGTGGCGCCATGGGGGCGCTGCTATGTGCATTAAGTTGGAGTTTCTTTTTGTAAATAGTCGTTGGCAATTGTAAATGTCGAGAGTGGAGCAGATAATAATAATCAGGTTAAAATACCAGCTGCTGCTGATAATTTTTTGACCAGTGCATGGCAATTGAATAATAATTTACACTACCTACTGAATACTAATATAACTGCCATTTATGAAACATAAATAATTTTAATTTTAATGAAATTAATTTAAGTGGAGGTTGAGCTCTTAAATATGGCAGTCTTTCAGCAACAACAGTAAACCGTGATTCTTAAAAACATTTCTAGATACAAATGAAAAATAATTGAAACCTTGGCCTAACTCATAAGCACTACTAGTCTTCTAAGTTTAACTGTTAAGCTAATATAATAAAACTGCTTAAGTAAAATACTAAAACTAAATAAATTAATAAATTAAACCACAAACAACTTGTTTGATCAAGCTGCCTTTCCAAAAATATTTTAATTCATACACTTCGAACGTGAAGACATGAAATCATTACTTTTGCTCGTATATATTTTAACGTTCAATAATGTAACTTCCGACAATGTCACAGAATCAAGGGACGATTCGCCCAGCTATGGAGTCCTAACACAGTCTCTAAATACAAGTGATCCGGGAGAATATGAAAACTACGATGAGTCACTAGAGCCGAAACTAGAGCTCAAATTAAGACGGGCAGCAAAGACCACAAGAAAGCAAAAACATAAACCCAAAATCCATACTGCATACATTCGATTTGAGGTTCCAAAGGTGGTGGAACCGTGGAATGAGGACGGTGAAAGTGCGACTGACATTGTCAAGCCGCGAGGTCCTACATCAAATATAAAATGGGGTAAATTTGTTAAATACATAAAAGTGTATATTGTAAACAATTTATTGTTCATTCATACAAAGGTTATTCGGTGGATCCAAAGAGACCACTAAATAAGGAATGCCAACAATCCACGCGGTATTTTCCCGATCACCCGTGGGTTTTGATAAAGCAGAGAAATGAGTTAATTAAAAAACCACGTCCATACCTGAAAGACCTGCGCACTTCGATGTATAAGAAACAGGATCCGGATGAGTGCCATACGCCCCAAATGACAAATGTGCGAGAATTTCTCGAGTGTCAAATCATACGCCATATGCGCATAGCTATGATTATACCGAAATATCCCGCAGTTCCTGCAAAATAACGAATCTATATAATATAAAATACAATATTTTCGATTTGGCGGGCCTTTATTCTAAATGCAAGTCTGGACAGTGATTTTGTGATAATTAATCGCTGTGACAGAAAATGCAGTCACCCTTACATTTGAATTTATATACTTATTTGTAATTTACAGAGATTACATTCCAATCCTTCTTACTGTAACGGATTGTAGTTTACCATTAACGCTTTTTGTTTTGAAAGTAATGCTTTCAGCCACCAAACACGTTACTGCGGTAAGTAGGTTGAATAGTGATGAACCAAAATATCGATACGCGTTGGACCGTAATATAATCGATAGCGTACTCGATACATCGATAACAAACATCAATTCAGTTTCTCATCTTTATTAAAACGAAATTTGTTGGCCACATTTTGTACTAACTACAACTACAACTTATTGCAGGCATTTACTTAGCATAACCATAACTTTTTGTGTATGTGCCTAACAAATTAGCAGCAGAAGCATATATTAGGCGCCGCAAGCAGCCATCAGAGAATATCGTTCAGAAGCGTTTACGTGTATTTAAATTGAACATACAATATGTACATTGTTGATAAACAATAGCAAACTGAACACAGAAAAGGCTCGCAACAGACATAAAGCAACGCAACAGAAATAAAACAACACCACACATACTTATAACGTGCTCGACGCAATCAAATCGCAGCCGGCCGAGGGCAACGTGTGCATTTACGGTTGGCTTTGCAAAATTACTATTCGCAGTACAGCTAAGCCAATTAGGTTGAGCGGCGATCTGTAACGGGAGATCAATTGATAAATGTAGCGGAGCCACCAACGCAGCAGCGGTCGGTAGCCAGAAGCGAAGCTAATGTGCGGCAGAAAAAAAGACTGTGGACAAGTTGCGGTCAGATGTAAGGCAGGGTGTCTACTGACCCAACGAGGCGGGTATCCAGCTAAATACCAGGTAATCTGCATTAAATGCCCGATGATGCGCTATATGTGAAAGTTGATGACATTATAAATACGAGAGAGAGTCATTTATATTTCACAATCGAAATTGGGTAAACTCGCACTAGTCGGTCAAATTTTGTTATTAAATGGGAAAGTCGCATTTATAAAATTTAAAAACATGACGTGCCTAAGAAATGTGAATACGTACTTATTAATTACGTTTTTTGTTCGTTCAAAAATGTGTGTTAATTCATATTTATTAAGGTATTCTCATTTTGGGAGATATATTGAGGGATTTCGTGTTGTTTGAATGGATCAACATTTTTTTTCAATATACTGATAAACGTCTTCCAATTTCCAGTAGACACCCTGTAAGAGCAACTCCCGCTCTACGCAACAAAAAATAACGCTTCCACGCCCACCGATTAAAACAGCCGCGTGCTGAGTGTCGCTATCGACGATTTCGAGTTATCTTTTAGGCCTGAACTCAGTTCAATTTAAATGTCGAACTAAGCGCTGGCTGTTTAGCTGGAGAGAACGTCCCCCCACCGCACTGCAAAGATGCGTTCGCGTAAGGTGCTTCTAGTAATTGCTTTCCTGATAACGTGGACATATATCACATACTATATACTGCTGCGCAGCAGCAACCCTGAGCTCAGTAAATCACAGTTTAAGAGTCTAGCCCGATTCTTGCCCCATGCGCAAAATGAGAACATTAAAAGTGAGAAATTAGCACGGAATCTCATAGAATTCTTAAAAGTAAGATATTTGGAGGATCAGGATGTGCCAACGACAGGAACAACGCCCAAAATCAGCATAATAGCGGCTGAGATCTCCGACGAAGTGGCTGACGTTGCGGAGAAAGTGACGCCGGCACGAATACCAACGCAAACACATCTAGCGAATGGTGAGCCCGTTATACCCATTTTGGTATTTGCATGCAATCGCGTTTCTGTCAAAGACTGTCTCGAAAACCTGGTGCGGTATCGTCCAAGTCTAAAACAATTTCCTATTATTGTGTCACAGGTAATAAGACTTAATAAATAATCGTATTCGAGCTTAAGTAATTTTGCATTTCCTTACAGGATTGTGGCGACGAAGCCACAAAAAGTGTCATCCAGCAATTCGGCAAACAAGTTACACTCATTGAGCAGCCCGACCAGAGTGATATTAAAGTACCTCCCAACGAAAAGAAATTCAAGGGCTATTATAAGATATCTCGTCACTACGGCTGGGCGTTAAACACCACATTCCGGGTTGGTTTTGATTTTGTGGTTATTGTAGAGGATGATTTGAATGTGGCGCCAGATTTCTTTGAATACTTTCTGGGCACACATAAGCTGCTCAAAAAAGATCCAAGTCTATGGTTAGTTCAATCAAATTAAAGCTGAAAAGTGAACTTTAAAAAATCACAATACATATATAATAGGTGTATATCCGCTTGGAATGATAATGGTAAGGCAAATGTTGTAGATACTTCGCAGCCGGAGCTGTTATATCGCACCGATTTCTTTCCGGGCTTGGGATGGATGCTTACCAAGGATCTGTGGGCTGAACTTTCGGTGAAGTGGCCAAAATCGTAAGTCTCTGGTTTATATGCTAGGTTACCGCTATTTACTTATGTTATTATTTTGTAGCTTCTGGGACGATTGGATACGTCACCCGGCTCAACGCAAAGAACGTGCTTGTATTAGGCCTGAAATCTCACGCACGCGTACATTTGGCAAAATTGGCGTGTCCAAGTAAGTTCAACGTATTCAATTTATATCCTTAAATACTAACAAAAATTTCCATTTATCAGTGGTATGTTCTTTGATAAATATCTCAAATATATTAAGCTTAGTACGGATTTTGTGGAGTTTACAAAAATCAACATGAGCTATTTGTTGAAGGTAAAATAATGTCGTGAGTTCTTTGCGTGTGCTACTTCTATACTTCTTTTTTGTTTTTTAAGGAAAATTATGATAGTACGTTTTTGAGACGCGTTTACATTTATCCACTGGTTACGTATGACGAGCTGCGGCGCAACCTCATAGCCATTAAGGGACCAGTACGCATTCAGTACAATACGCGTGATCAGTACAAGCGCTTGACCAGGATGCTTGGGCTTATGGACGACTTAAAGGTGTGTGTGGAGATTCCAGCAAATGATTTTAATATATTAAATTACATTTATATTGTAGAGTGGCGTTCCCAGAACTGGCTACCATGGTATTGTGTCTTTCTTCTATAATGGACGGCGTGTACACTTAGCACCTAATGCCAACTGGAAAGGTTACGAGCTTTCATGGAGCTAACAGCAGCCAGTTTTAGTTAATTTGCACTAAACTAAAAGTTATCGTCTAATTAACTTAGAGCAGCATTAATGGAATCAAAAGATTTGGTTTTAAACTGGATGCGATACCAAAAATAGTCGAATCTCATGACGATAATTCAATTAATTTTATTTTTATAACAACTTTAGTTATAGTTATGCTATTTTTTTATGTGTCCATTTTAACACTTGCTCCGCTCCAAAGTAACAAATGAATCAAAAAGAGTCTCCAATATGTATGTATAGCTTCTAATAGTTACGGGTAGATGGGTAGTGGTCGCTAACCACAAACTTTGAACATACTAATGTAAAACTGATGCAATAACAACGAAGTACACAGAGCCGTGTTAAGCGATGGAGGAAATAAGGATGTTTAGTTGTAAATAGTCACCACGATTGGCTCTGCATGCACTTGCAATGTTTCTGTTAACATTTATTTAATTAATCGATTGCTTTAATTTATTATATAAGCTTGTTTAGTAGTTTAATTAATTAGAGGTTAAGTTGATAGAGCTCGAATTGGAAGTAGCGTAGACGTGATTTGTGATTCTATGATTTTATTTTATAATTATTTTCTTTTTCTAAAGCCAATTACTGACCCACGATGTAACATAAGATCATAGCAATAGGTTAACTAATCCCAGTGTTAGACTAACATGAATCTGTGCCAGTCGCTGTATATCGCTTCAGAGTCGATATGTACATACACCTTACATAACATGCACACTTTGAAGAAACAAGAATGAAGACGAAACATACACGTACATAAACATAAGTATAAACTAACGTGTTTATATGAGCATTGTATTGTGGCATATAAACAAAAATATTTCCTAAACAGAACTTGTATATTGCGCACTAGTCGCTGCAATATTGTTTAAAAATATAACAAAACTTTTTCCATGTGTACACCAATCTGTAAATTACTGCAAGTTTATTATTCCACAGTATCGCAGTCATCATCTTCATCCTCATCGATGTGCTCGCAATCGATTTCGCTGCACTCAGAGTCAGTGTGTGTGGGTCGGCGGCTGCGTTGGGCATGCGCCAAGCCATCATGTCCGTAGCCACAGGCAGCTTTGCACGCGGTGCCTGTTGTGCCCGTCGTTGCATTTTTGTGTTCCAGGAAATTTGCATTAGAATCGCCGAAGACCCGCTCCAGCTCGGCCAGTCCATTGCTGCTCGCAGTTTCTGTTTCCGGCGGCAGAGCTGCGTACTTCAGTTGCAAATATGCTTCGTCGCGTTGGTAGTCGCTATTGCCAAGTGAAGGCACCGCATAATCTGCATAGCCACTATAGGACTTACAACGTGGAATATAACTGGCTGTGGTTGCCGTACCTGGATGCTTTGCCACGCTGAAGGGAAGTGTGAAGTTCAGTGGCTGTCCACGTGACAGAATAGCATTACGGGCGCTCTCCATAACACTAGGACCTGGAAGTGTCGGCATTGTGGTGCTGGCAGCATATGGACGCATAGTGGCCGAGGCCATCGGTGGCGCCGTACCGCCGCCATTCAGCATGATCGACTGTATGGGCGTTGGACCGGCGGGCGTTTGACTGAACAGCCACAAACGATCTCCCACAACCATGGGACGCGCCAGACCTCCAATACCAAGCTGAGCATAGTAATGGGAGGCAAGGGTTTCCACATCAGCGGTGTACTTGCGCTTCCATTTGGTACGACGGTTCTGGAACCAAATCTTGATTTGCGTCTCCGTTAAATGCAGCTGCTTGGCCAGTGCCGTGCGTTTCGCCACTGATAAATATTTTCCTCGCTCGAACTCCGTCTCAAGCGCCTTAATTTGTGCCGCCGAGAAGGCAGTACGTGGTCTCTTCTTGCGATCATCGTTGGGGGCTGCAAATAAAAGATTTTATTGTAAACATTCATTCGTAACTAGTTGCCAATTAATTGCTACCGACAGCGGCCTTTGTTGCCAACTATGTGCGGCTAATTGTTCTAATTAGCATTTGAATTTTGTTGCCAACATACAAGAAAAGAAATAATTGTTGTAGATTTTCGAAAAAGACTTTTAATATTTAAAGAAATTTTCTATTAATTAGAAAGCAAGTATCTCAGAAAGTATTAGAGCTTGAATAGTTTCGAGATCCTACAAAGCTTCTGTTTTTTTTTTCTTTCTGATGCGCCCTCCACTCGCTCGCCTTCATGTTTTGTTAAGGACACACATGAACAATAGCAACAACAAAAAAACAAAAATGGGTGATATACAAATGCATTGTATACTTGTATTGTTTTGTTGTACATAATTTCATGTATACTATATAGTAGAGCTATAGCTGAAATGAAATTTTGGTCAGGATCCTAATTGACTCTGCGATCACACAGAGTTCACTTAATATTACCAAAAAGAACATTTGTTTTTTGACAAAAGTAGTTCTACCAATTTTCAAAATTTTATGGCTGCAATTGAGCTGTAACTTTGTGCGCCTTAATGGAAATATGCACGTACATCTATTTCATCATTTGACGAAATATTCCTATATATAGTCAACAGTCTTGGAACGAATACAAATTGTCGTATAAATTTTAAATGCCTGTGCTGGGAAATGTAGACGTGCTTTAGATTTTTGTGTTCGACCTTAGTCCGTCATCTCGCCTCATCTTGACACTTGCATCATTAGCTGTGGCTGCCCCATAGTCTCCTGTGACACTGACACCCATAAAGCTAATTTCTATTTATTTGTTTCTGAATTGTGTGCCTGACAGATGAGATCATTCAACTATAAACATAAAACAAAATTATTTTAAAATATTAGTTCTTCGTTGCTTCACTTAATGAGTTTGGTGAGGCATACACGAATGAGTACATTAATATTTGAATACAAACTATGAAATTAATCTAACAGGCCCAATTCCTGAAAAAAATTATCAATAAATTATTACAGTAATAAATTTAATGATGCTGATGCCAAGAGCACCAAAAATCTACAAATCTCTGACATACGTATCTGGGTTCTCAGAACGCTTCACCCAGTCAGACTGCTATCAAAAAGAGGATATACAAATTGCGCACAGACCGGAGAATACACTTAGGAACATTTTTAATAGGACTAAGGCAAAAATTGCAGAAATGGACCTGAATAACGTAGTCTATAAAATTCCATGTGACAGAGACAGCGACAACCCATGTAGGAGATTTTACATTGGAACCACTAAGTCGAAACTAAAAACACGGATATCACAACACAAGTCAGACTACAAACTAAGGCATCAAACATTGACACAAAAAACTGCTCTAACAACCCACTGCATAGAGACTGGACACACCCCCAACTTTGAAGAAACGAAAGTACTTCAACAAGAACGACACTACAGTAAGCGATTCACTCTCGAAACGCTACACATTATCAACACACCTAACAAATACAGAATTAACTACAAAGCAGACACCGAAAATTGCGCGCATATTTACAGACACCTGTTAGTTAGTAACTCCAAGTCAAACAGAGCAGACTTGCTTAAATAAGTAATTATATAAAAATTTTTGTGTTATAGTTTTAATATGTTAATTATGTTATATGTTTTGTAGTTGCCCTGAAGACGGTTACCGTGGCGTAACCGAAATATATCGGAAAAAGAAAAGAAAATTAAATAAATTGGTTTTTCTTACTCTGACCTCGAGCCGGCCAAACAATAAAAATATATTAATTTTAATTAAAATATATATTGTATTGTATTGTAACCAACGAGATTTTAAGTACCAAAATCTGATTCAATAATTCAAAACGCTTAAAGTTTTTATAATATGTATTATGAAATCATACGAAAAGAAAACGCAAAATATTCCATTGCTGATCAATTATCCGATTCACATTTCTTTCTTGCCTACTGAATAACATGTTATTTCGTCCGTCCCCCACTCACAAAATCAAAGCTTTAAAACTTTAAAATATACGAGTACATATGTATGTAGGTACTCTCGATCAGGTGAACAAATCTGGCTCTAAGAGTCTTGGAAAAAATATGCTGAGATGAAAAGAAAATGAACACAAACATAAATTTGCAGTTGTTTTTATCCTGTTTTGTAAAAGTGTTTTATAGATCAGTACATAAGATAAGGCATACCAGAAAGCATGTGTATAGTATAAGTAATTTAAGATGGAAAAGAATAACAAGACTTTGTGGGAGTGACTCTGATGTCCTGAATATAAAAATATATAATTTTTTGAAGGACGCAGCTGTGCAAAAAGTTATATTCTATAAAGTTATGAAGTATAACTTTTAAATAAAACCGGATACCTTGGGGTACTTAGAATGCACACAATGGAAATAATGTGAATTTTACATGAATCACAAGTTTTTAATTTCGATTGGTTTATATTTTGAAAGTTATAATTTTGTGCTTCGGCGGTCCTTGGCTTGACAGTTATTTGTTTGAATCATTTTCCGTTAAACTTTTAAAGATTACATTACCCCATTATTTGATAATCTAGGCTTACTTGAATTATATGGTCTTCTTACGCTAGGGACTTCAGATGAGTTGAAAAGATGAAATAACAATACGCACCAAAGCCATCATCTGAAGCTATATCGCTTTTGCCATCATCCAGGCCATCTTCAACGCAACTCGATGTAGCTGGACTGGATACACGAGATGATACATCGGAACTCCGGTTACTATTTTCACTATTTATCGCCTGTGCTTCATTAAAAGCGTTTGTCACTTCAAAGCCGGTTGCTTTATCGGCGGTTTCTATCACAACATTGTCGATATTGTTGGTGCTTCGCGTGTCGGGTTTGGCTAAAATCTGTTCGATCGAGAAACTGTGCGGATATCGGCGTACTACAGATTGCGTATTCATTGCGACTATATGTATGTATATCTTTTCCACTTTCCGGTGCCAGCGGAAAAACAACAGTTCGCGACGACTCGTTTCGAAAAACTAATTTGAATATTCGACGCATCCTGTGCATTCGCATATGGAATCGAAAATGAACGATCGTCGGTAGGCGTGGTCTGCTCTATAGCGCACTCGTTTCCTTTTTCTATCTTTGGTCTAAGTAACGAAAAGAAATGGCCTGTGTGTTGAAAATTCTCTTTCGAAAATCCCACATATGTTTATTTTTAAAACATACTTGTACATATGTGAACTCTACGGCGGCCCTCTCTCCAACTTTCTGCGTGTGAGGGGCGGTCTTAAAGTGTGTGGCAGCGGCAATTTTTTTGTGTTTCATTTATTTAATGTGCTCGTGATTAAAAGCCATAATTTTTTGCTAATAGTCTACAAGTTGCGCTATTTAATTTTTAGATGGCTTGCTAAATATATTTTATAATTTCGCCAGCATATTTCATTTTTAAGATACATGACATAATGTGTAGGCGTTTTGGCAATGTGTTTGAGGAACAATTTTGTAAATATTTTATATAAGAATTTATAAATATTAAGTAATCAGATTTGCGATTATTGTGCATGAAACTAAATACAAAACCTAAGAAATTTATTTTTTGTGATATTATTGCCAACACAGAATAATGCAAGATATAGTTGTCCATTTAAGAAGCAATCCATCTGTAAATCTAAACCATATGATTAAAAAAATTTGCGATGGGCCTTGTTGATTGTGATGACAATAATTCAATATGGAATTACAATATTTTGAATTGAAAAAGCATGTCGGTCAGGTTCTTTTCTCTTTGTTCTACGCGGCAAAGATAAGAAGTATCATCAATAGGTTTCTCTGACCGATTTATTTATTTATTATGACCGTTCGATGGCATAATATCAATGGATTGTGCACCAAAATACTGTTTTTAATAACTAAAAAAATATCTAACAAAGAAGTTTCAATTAAGAAAGCGTTCACTTTATTTCTAATGGATATTTGAAATAAAAATATTGTTAAAGGTATATATTTTCAGATTTAAATCAAAGATGATTTTATTAATAATCAAATGTCTTTAGGAGGAACAAATTATCAAGTGAAGTTCATATAATCCAGACCTACAGTTTTGCAAGCTGGAGGGAAATCTAGGAATGTTTTATCAGAAAAATAATGCTCAAAAAGTTGGCTGATTTCTAATTTAAATCGATTTTTCAGATGATGGCAAAAATGTTTAATATTTAAAATTTGAATACTTATTTTATTTCGGAAGCCCATAACTGAAAATGGCGTAGCTTCATGTCTTTAATAATATCCTGCCACATCTTTCATAAAACATAGTAGACGTATGCAGAATTTAAAAATATTGCGCCATTTTCCTGCTCATTCGAGACAGAATCATTCAGATGGGCTGAAATTTTTTCGCTTGATAAATATTTGGTAGGTCCCCAAGACTAACAAGTAAAACGTTCATTAATTTGAAATTATTAACACATAATTCAGACCGAAAGAGATGGCAACAATTGCCAACAAAATACAAGTACTAGTGGTGATGATGACGATGATGGGGCAAGCGGCGTCTGCCGGAACGGCTCGTGCAGGGAGCTAGTTTTCGATTGGCTGGCGGCCAACTCAACGTCGACGATAGGGTGCCGGAGTGAGATAATGTCTTAATTATTCATGCACAATTTGAACAAAATATGTGAAAACACGTTAATTAGTTGGCAGGGCGACTGCAGCTGGGGTTACAGAATTATGGGGATACCATCGCCAGCTCCTGCTGCCCGCTCCGACTCATCCGTTTAGGCAGCCCAACTGTCACTTTGATTTAATTTAATGAGGAAAATTTTATGAGCGGCAAACCCATACCGCGCACGGCTTTCAAATCAAAATGACAACTTAATTTTCATAATTGCGCTCAATGAATATTCGACTATTGCTTGCCATATTTTAAATTCCTCGCATCAGTCTGAGCGGTCGGCTATGGCGGCAGCTGTAAAAATATTTGGCATGGCATGCTCGGACTAATTAGAACGTAATCTTTTGTGCATTTTAAATCAATTACCAATTTGTTGCTTGATCTTTGGTGGATTTGTTGCCAAAATTTGTGTCTACTCTGGGAGTTGCTCCAATTGAAAATCTACGACTATATTCTTAATTTTCAAGCGACAATGTTGCGTAACTTTGGTCAGGCCTTTCTCAAAAACTACACTCCCATTTAACGTTAAATGGAGCGCAACCGTGTCAGAATTTAATTAATACGAATGTATGCATCTTCATTATAAATCATCACTTCTCAAGTGTTTGTCAGCCGCATGCAACATAAATCACGACCACAGTCAGTGAAGCGGTCGCGTGTTGCAACCAAAGACCGCGCAGTGTGTTTTGGTTCTTATTTTTTTATTTTCTCATTGCTGATCTTGTGTACGTCCCTTTTTTGTCGCAGTCCTACTAATGATGCATTCAAGTCCGCAAGTGTTAGCGCTTAAGTAGGTACATCGCCCATCGATCTCCAGACGAACATCTGCATCTGTATCTGAATTTGTATTTGGATTTGCGCTTGTGGCCGATACTGTGTGTCTTTCTTCAGAGTTCATTTGACACTCCCACGCCATTGCTCATGGTTTTGGTTTCCGATTACGTCAAAGGTGAAGCATTCCCCCATTCTTCGCCTTCACGGCATGTTTGTGGTGGTGTTGGGCCATTGAACTCGTCCAGAAATTTTAGCATGATTAATTGGTTGGTCTGTTTGTTTTTCCTGAACCTAATTTGTGTGACACACTAATAGAGATGCAATACGAATCTCAGAAACTGCCGGAGGCGTGACTGAAAGTGTACCTCGTCTATAGATCTTTAGCCTTTAGCTTTGTATTCGGAACTATCGGTAATGTACAAATAAGGCGGTTGGGATCTTGGGATACTATTTGCCCAATTATGGTTCAGGTTCAATTATGGTTCAGGTCTCTTGGATTATCGAATTGACTAAGTCCTTAAATAATATGTAGAAATGCATAATCTCATTCCCAAACATTATGATCGCGTAAAATACCGATGAGTTTTCCTATAGTTATTGATGAGTTAAACACCGACTAGAAGCAGATACTTTTCCTAATACTTATATTCCTAATCGATGGTCTGCTGTACTGTGCCGTCTGCGTATCAAAGCGATGTTCCAGTCATTCTTTAGTTCAATCTAAACTAAATTTCTTTGTTATTTAAAAAATATAAAATTCAGTTAAATGTTTTAAATGGATAAAATATCTTAAATCGAATTTATCCAATCTATACTAATATTATAAAGAGGAAAGTTTTGATTGTTTGTTTGTTTGTTTGAATTGAAAAGGCTCCGATTCTACTGGACCGATTTAATTGATTCTTTCGCTGTTGGGAAGCTACACTATTGATGGTGAGCATGGGCTATATTATATTTGAAAACACTTAAATTCACTAAACCCTTCTGGACTGCTGCCACATGAATTGACAGTAAAATTCGGAATTGCAATCATGGTTTTGAGAAATTAAAGCCTTCCAAGCATGTGCAATGGGACAACGCTACAATGTAAGTGTAGCAACTATTATCAACGGCCCAGCAACTGGTCCACTAGCTCATATAACGAGGATACTGAGGATACCGATGATTCCATTTGATCATTTAAATGGCTTCAATTTCCGGTAGTCCCAAGGCCAATTCTTTGAATTAGTAGGGATCGACATATGAAAGCAATGTTTTACTGTATCACGGGTCGGAGCTCCGGAAAATCAATTTATTTTGCTACCACAAAATAAAACATCAAATATCTTTTACAGATAAGCTCTGACCTAATAAAGAATAACAAAAAAAATCATTATAATAATAATATCCAAAATAAATTTTACTCCTTCTTAAAAATTCATAGCAAAAAGGAGGGTGTATGTGTGTGTTATAAAATGAATCATTTTTAAAATTTTTGTAAAAATACCCGTGCGAAGCAGGGGCAGGACACTTGTTCATATATATTTTAAGGCTATGACTACTGAAATTATTAGTAATGCCTGCTTAATATAAACAACTATTTATTAGTCTCTACTCTCAACAAAATTTAAACCGTCCACCAGACACTTTAACCAAAGTGTATGGCAATTATTTTTCTTTTGTAGCTTCAATAAACTGCATCGGGTAATAAATTTGGGTTTCGTTATATTTTTACTCAGTGGCTGCATTTAATTTCATTCATGAAGAACTCCCTGTGCAACGCTCCGCACACATACGACTATTGACAAACGTATATACTCGTATGCACGAATGCCATCTGTATCCCAAAGGAGGCTGACAGATATAAATAATAATTAAGCAGAGAAAGAACTGCATATTAATTTAATGTGTGCTCGTTCAGTTCTGAGAACAGAACTACAGAAAAATACGAGCAAAAGGCGTCATTTATGGTCTTTAAACGGTCGAGTATGTTTTGTGCAAGCAGACATAGCCCATAAATTACAACCAATTATCAAATTAGATTTTTACAAAACATGCAGCTTAAATCATAATGCATTTATTTTTTATAGCAACCGGTAGTAGGCGGCACAGCACGGCAGTTCCATTTCTCACAGATTTTCGTCTCGTGTTTTATGGAATCATTTGGGGGCTGTTTTAAATTTCATGGAAATTCTTTAGACAGCCGTCGAAGGCGATGCACAGCACCTCACACCTCAATCAGCTTAAATCACGTGTTGATAGCAACAATTAAATGCCAGTTGCCTGCGGCCCAATTGGAAAAATTAGCAGACAATGCACGTCCTGACAGCGACGGCAATTAATTTGCCGTAATTACTCAGTGCCCGTCACTTGACATGACTGGAGAATGAATGCCTCCGAGTAGACGTCTGTCGCTGTCTAGCAGAGGCGTAATATTTACGCTTTCCCTCCCAAACACCCAAAGAAAATGGGGCAGGAAAAACTCGGGCTTGTCGCTCGTGTCGTGTCCTCCACTAGTTGCCACCTCAACGCATCGCTGCTACAACTGATGTTGATACCCATTTATATATACTTATACATAC